CCCCTTTCTCCCTCCCCCTAACCCACCTTTCCTCTGTTCCTGGATAAAAGGATATCACATTTCAACAAATACCATGCTCTGAATATGATGTAACAAGTCACAATGTGACAAATATCTTTTCCTGAATAAAAGGATGTTACATTTCAAGAAATACTGTCCTCATAAGATTAATAAAGTATCATAATTTGACAAACAGCTCCCCCTGGAAAGAAAAGGGTGCTACATTATTTTAAACAAACCCCATCTTTATAAAACACATTTTGATCAGCTCGTTAAAATTTGATATAATGGCTTATCTTATTCATGTGATTTTTTTTTTCTCATTTTGTAAAATGTTTTCCTTGCTTATACATTGCGTTTAGAGAGGCGGTCAGCTATAAGTATCCACTTCTCTTGGTGATAAGTTTTTGGGTTTAATTTTGTTGTTTGGTTTTGGTAAGAGTTTTACGGCGCTCTCAACTGCATAAGGTCGTATGTATTAGCGAGCGAGACTCAAGTTGGTTGTTTTTCATATTTAGCATTTTTAGTTTTTTTTATAGGAATTAATTTTGAATTTTGTCCAGTTGGAGATTGAAGCCTACGGTTATCAGTCTTAACGATTTTAGGACCACTAAGGGATCTTTAATGTGCACAAATTGAACACGGGACCTCTGATATTTTTTCACCCTTATCCCAGAAGTCTAGGTTTTTCGATCTCACCTACCTTAAGTTCAAGTTGAAGGGTGTGGCTGAAAGACAGCAGTAAGAAGCCAGGAGTAGCGGTAGAAAGAGTCAGGATACTAGAGGAGAGAGGGGGAGGGGGGATAGGCAGAAAGTGTGGATGTAAGCAGATGAAAGAACATGGCCAGGAAGAGGAAAAGAGGTGAAAGGAAAACATTTTCGAGAAAAAAACATTTTCTCCGCTGTCAGGTTTCGAACCGGGGACCTATTGAATGAGAAGGGAACACCGTTCATATACAAATGTGAGGGAGCGTGGCGGGATCAGACTCTCGTCAATTTTTGGGCATGTAGGGTTATTGGTATCATATTAAAGCTTGTTCACTTGTCTTTATTTGGATGAAAAAATATCCATTTATCTTGAATACAAGTCGAGATATTTGCAAAAGAAGAAGGTGGGGGTCACTTGTTTTCAGAGGTAAAATTAATCTGACCCCGTAAGATTATGCGATTTTGTGGCCGTGGCGCGGCCGCGTTTTTTCGCGTAATTCTGCAACAATTGCATAATTTTGGATTCCCCGCGGTTTTTTTTTTCCACGTGTTTTCCTTTTTCTTTTTTTTTTTAACCTGACAATTAATTAACGCCTCGCCATGTGACTAAAGGGAAATAATCACCATAATAAGTCTCATTTAAGTGAAAAGTTGGTTATTTCCCTTTTTAGAAAAACTTGGTTATAAGGGTTGGGATTTTGTTCCTTGAGCATACTGTTCAATTTTTCAATCCATCAAAAGTTGTTGTTCTCATGTCTGCTGATGTTTCATGTTTGT